ACATGTCATCCAGTGCAACAGTGCGGCTCACTGATGTGGTTATAAAAGCCATCGGACAACAGTACAGCTCTATGGCACAGAGGAAGACGATAAATCGGGCTTTGACATGCGCATGGTGTTTGCTAGCAGGAGACATTCACTGCTGGTTTGTGTCTTTCTAGTGGATTTGTTGATTTGAAGAAAATTGAATATCACCAAACATATCCTTATGTGGCAGATGAAACTGAAGTCATGCTATAACTTATTTTTAGTGTCTACACCCACCTGATATTGTATCTATTCGCAGTACTGACACAGTCAGAATCCATACCTTCATGTACCTGAATAAAGCCAATGATAGGGAGCATTGAATTTGCAAAAACATATATAAAATTTAAATGTCTGTTTTTCACAGTTAGGTATATGTCTAAACAGTCAACAAGAGTGTATATACTGATTTCTCTACACCCCAAAACATATGCTACTGAAGAAGCATTCACTAATTTGTTTACTTTAGTTTTGTTTAATAGTTCATAACAATCTACTTGTAATATTTATTCATCATGCTTTTTGGCTTTGCATAAATATATCAAGTTAAATTTATGATGGTGAATTGCAAACAAACTTGTTTTCTGCGGTGACTTTTACTTTGATTAGTTGTGGCAGCTGTGTAGTGTATAGAGTTCAGTCCTAATAATATGAAATAAATGTCTGAGTCCAAATATTGGAGGAAAAGGAGAATAACTACCCTATTAACAGGCATATTATTGGTGTCCTCCTTTTGCTCCTAGCAGAGGGCAACACATGAGGCTCTGTGCAGATGCCAGTGCAGCTGCACAACCAGCACTAGAGTCTTTACACACCTGCTTTGTGCAACATTCACAGTGAGATTATTCAGTCTGCACTGGGAAATGGTTTTTATCAGACTTTGGTAATGTTATTGTTAGTTAGCAGAGACACTACAGATGATTGGGTAAATAGATGTGTAAAAACTACATGCTGTGCTGTACACAGGAAAACTTTGCTGAGCCAGCTGTTTAACTTGGGATGTATGAAGAAGTTAAACTTAGGGTGACATTCTCTTAGTGGTAGATAATGATGATGACAATAAATGTATGATTTCAAAGGAAACGTGTCATGTTTGTAATTTGTAACTGTCATATTTTTACATTACTGTTCACCTATACTCCAAAATACTTCTCTTGCTGAACTCCAGTGTGAGCTGCAGAAAGTTGCTTCAGTACTAAACTAGCTGCACACTATTGATAATAGCTGATTATTTAAATGTACAATAAACTAATAAATAGGGTTTTGTGAAGCCAACAAATGCTATAAAGACAGATCAAATGTCAATATTATGGAAACCATGAAAGGGTAAGGGATGACATCTGGACATCTGCAAGATGACCAACCAAGATTTGTATAAGCAATGGAAACACAGGAACAAAACAAAATTTCAGGTGTTGTTAAACCACCATTAGGTATGGTATTTCTCCACACAATGCCATAAAAATGCATCTAGTATACAACATGGGGTCACACTGACCTGGTTCTTTTATTAGTTTATTTGTTGTGGGCAAAAACAACATCAAAGATGTAAATGTGTCAGATTTAACCAGAAGGCCAATTTTAATCCATAAGTGCTGAAATACTTGGGTCTTTATAACAACAGGTGATAAACATCTAAAATCAATAGGGGGGTTCCCCAAGCAGGTCATACAGTACATGTCATAGTTTAAATTGCCTTCAACATCGTGGAAAATGGTGTTGCTTATTGTGGAGCTCAATTTTATGACACCTCCCTCTTTGGGACCAAATAATAGGTAAACATGATGTACTGAGTTTTCATATTGAAAGATATTACCCAGTTCTTTCAACCAGGAACTCTGAGAGACGACGGAGACCACTTGGATATATAAAAAATATAACCGTGCTGGTTTATTCAAAGGATCACAGGCAAAATTAACATCACACTTCCAGGCATCTTCCACCTCCAGTACTGTGCGCAGGCAGCCCGGAAGATGAAAAAAACCCCGAACCTAATAGCCTATACAATTTAATCACTTGGTTGGGCTAGCCCCATCCTACACAGGTAACGTCAAACCGTGACGTCACCTGATATGCCAGCTTGGCAGCTGACCAGAGCAGTAGTCAAAACATGGAGAAAATTAAAGTGTGTGGCTGTTGATTAGTGGTGTGTATCTAAAAACATACAGGACATTCAGGGACATGTCCGAACAGTAAGCCTCGGAAGATATTATGATTAAGATTACGGCTGAACATATCATGCTACTAACAATATTCATCCTGCCTGCAGACTCTTCAATCTAGTGACCTTGGCCTAGATGCAGCCTATACTAACATTTTCTAATACAACAGATCTCTAATCACTATCTATCTAACTAAGAAATTACCTAACACAATAAACAAGGTAAATATGGCACAAGGCACAAATTATTGGCCTCCAAGTATAGTATCTGCAGTTCTGTTTACACCATAACTTAAACCAGAACCAAAGTACCTAAATTACAAGTACCTAAAAGCAATACATAGAAGGACAGTCATTAAAAAGGCCAAGTCATTGGTACACAACAGCTGATAAGCCATCCACCACAAATAATTTCCATGTCAGGGTCAGTAACAATGTCAGTGTTTTGTCACAACCTAAGCTAATCCTACATGACCCATAAATTAGGTCATGGTTATAAAATGTAATAAATGAGCCAAAAACAATCATTTTCTCTCATTGCCATACAGCAGTTTGTCACTTTTCTGTGTTTATACTTTGACTATTTTTTCTCATAATTTGGGGGGGTTGCCATGCAACAAAGTTCCTCAGCTGGATACAAGTGTTATACCCCAGTTCTTTTACTGGACAGATCTGAGTAAAAAATGAGTCAATCTTTCTTGATTTTAGTGCTGGTTTATTTACAAATATATATATATAAATATATGTATAAAAAGGATTACAGAACACAACC